TCACATGGAGAAGCCTGTTTAGAAAATGTCAAGACTGCAAGTCTTTTGTTTAGAAGAGCTCAGACTGCCTCCTCCTCCTCAGATAAATACTACATAATTCGCCTTTGGCTGGTTTGAGAACAGGTCACAACCTGGTGTTTTGGGGCAGGAAAACACCTGTCTGTTTCGGGCTCAAGAACTGACAGACACAGTGTTTGAGCTACAGAAAAAGGAGCCTGATGTTTTGACCCAGAGCCCAAGTTAGTACTGCAACAACAAATTACTGAAATTCACCGAGATGGATGTGTTTATCCACTTTCCTGGAAAACCTAATGGATTCTATCCTCAGCTTATAATAGCAAGAGCAGTGGGCCAGTCATGCATACTATCTAATCACAACCAAACCCATTCCTCTGGCTCACAGGATGCAATTTCCAGCTCTTTGTATCTAGAACAAAACCCAGAATTTTAATCAATATTTGGCCATGCAGTGGGAATCCCTTGGAATGAGTTTAGGGTGAGAATAAAGGCAATACAAATGAGGAAAGCTGTTCAACAAGGACAAGCGAAAGGGCAGAGGGAATAAGGGGGACATTAAGCTGACCAGACATTCACATGGCAGGGGGAAAACAAAGCTGGGGAGTGTGGGTGGGTAACAGCACCGTTAGAATATAGCCAGGAAATGGCTGAACCTGGGACTTGAACTTAGCTCTTCTGCTCCTGTTCTGAAGGTTCTTCATGGTGCTCCATGAAACCCTAGGGTTCTGCAGTGAGGGAACTGGGAGACTGAACAGCAGTGGAAGATGATGGTGATGACCACAAAGGTAACGACGGCAACTAGAACAAGGATAGCTGAGGCAGTTCCTCTCAAACCCACCACTCCCTGCTCCTCCCCTAGTATACAGTGTAGCAATATTCAGAGGCAGATGACTAATTAATAGTGCAATGAATCTCTACTGAAATCACTTGTTAAACCCTCTTTTCTTCTTCATTAATCTGATCTTCATTTCCTTTGCTCATCTGATCTTTATTTCCTGGAAAGCCAAAATAAAACAAATCTGGTAGTTACAATTCACTTCGCCAAAATGCCTCTTCTTAAGATGATCCAACGAGGGAGGGGAAAGGGCCTAAACTTCACTAGACTCTGTGTTGGACACTTTTCACTTATTTGCTTGAAAAACCAAAGATGTTAAACTTACATGTTTACTGCATCTGAATTGCACACCCATATTGAATTGTACACACGAAAGGGTTTGGCTACTAAAAACCCAAGTAAAAAGAAGGGTGTGGCTAAGTTCAGCCTTCCCCACAGTGGCATTTGCATCCTAACTTGGTCTCTCGTAAGTGGAATAGAAGCTCTGGATGATTCTGCTCCTGGTCCCCACTGATTCCTTCCCATCAGGGAGGGGTGTGGTCAGAGAATGGAGGGTACTGTTGCCCCCTGCAATCCTTTTTTCTGAAGAACACCTGTAACCCACAATATGCCTGATACCTGATTAACAGCATTGTCATATGTCATTGTTTAAATAAATATTCCACCCATGGATGATTTTCTCTTACCTAGAGCAGACTGTTTGCTCTAAGAGGGCTGGCACTTATTTTGCACAGCCACTACCAAACCTCTGTCTCCTACACTATCCAAATAGAAGAAACACAATGGTTATCAACTAAATGCATTGAACAAATGAATGGGAAGATCTGAAGAAATCATGTTAGTTTTTTAGAGGCTAAAAACACCAGGGAGGGAGATTCCTACTCTTCTGATTTAATTGCTGAGTGGGGTACCTTACACCAAAGCATTAGGCGAGTCCACAGAATAGGCTAAGGAAAACTCAAGATTAACATACACATACTACTATATACAAACGAGATAACAAGGACCTACTGTATAGCACAGGGGACTCTAAATATTCTGTAATAACCTATATGGGAAAAAAATCTGAAAAAGAATAAATATATGTATGTGCATACTAAGTCACTTCAACTGTGTCTGACTCTTTACAATCCTATGGACTGTAGCCTGCCAGGCTCCTCTGTCCATGGGATTCTCCAGTCAAGAATATGGGAGTGGGTTGCCACGGCTTCCTCTGGGAGATCTTCCCAACCCAGGGATGGAACCCTGTCTCTTACATCTCCTGCATTGGCAGGTAGGTTCTTTAACGCTAGTGCTACCTGGAAAGCCCCAATATACATAACTGAATCACATTGGTGTACACCTGAAACTAACACAGCATTGTAAATCAACTATACTCTAATAAAATGAAAAAAAAAAAATACAAAAAACTCCCCCAAGATCTACATCTCACAGTAAGTGACTTATCTGTATGTATGAGCCAGGAATTTTACATTTGCTCTTTCCAAGTCCTGCACCTTAGTAGGTATCTTCTATTTCTGGTTTCTTATTTCTCTTTAATGATTTCAGAATTATTCTCAGCACCCCCTTGAGAAATGGGGCACCCTGTGTGGAATTCTGTCCTTGGAATAGGTGTGAGTGTGGCCAAGCCAGGTAGGGGTGTGGCCAAGTCAGTATCCATGACAGTAAGCAGTAAAGTACCGATGAAGACCTCAGCAAATGCCACTGCTCACAACACACATCCGCCACCATCTCCTGATCTCAGGACATCTGAAGCATAAACCTCCACACAGCAGCCCTTCCCTTTGTTCTTATAAATTGGCAACAGGCCTACATCACTGATGTTGCACCAAAGTCCTGACTATACAAAATAACTACAGACAAATCATTCACTCATTCAGTGAAACGAATGGACAGTGGGGGATAGGGACAAGGGAGACAGATTTCATCAACTTGCACACATTCCAGAATGACCTTTATGTTTGCTGGGCTTTCCAGGTGGCCCAGTGGTAAAGAATCCACCTGCCACTGCAGGAGATGCAAGAGATGTGAGTTTGATCCCTGGGTGGGGAGGAAATCCTGGAGTAGGAAATGGCAACCCACTCCAGTATTCTGGCCGGAAAATTCCCATGGATAGAGGAGCCTGGAGGGTTATAGTCTATGGGGTCGAAAAGAGTCGGACACAACTGAACAACTAAACACATTTTATATCTGCCTTTCACTCGGATGTTAACACACGTATGTGGTTGAAAGAGACTTTTATTCCTCTTGTTAACATATTCGGGTAGCTATGCTTCACATGATTAATATACAGGTATATGATTTAAATTTGATCAATTTTGCTTATTTTAGTTTGTGCCTTTTTAACAACCTCTATTTTTTTCCCCTCCCTCCCTATCCCAGGGCAGCCACTTTTCTACACTTTGTTTTACAGTTCCAAAATTTTATTTAGTCATTTATTTATTTCAGATTCCACACATAAACCATATCATGTGGCATTTTCTTTCTCTTTCTGGCATATTTCACTTAGCATCATGTCCTCCAGGTCCACTCATTTGTCACCAATAAGAGCATATCCTTCTCTGTTATATTATTCTCTCTGAATCACACTCAATTGTATATACAGATCTTCCTTGACTTATGATAGGGTTATGTCCCATAAACCCATTGTATGCTGAAAATATCATAAGTTGAAAATGCATTTGATACCCCTAACCTACTGAACAATGTAGCTTAGCCCAGTCTACTTTCAATGTGCTCAGGACACTTAACATTATCCTACAGTTGGGCAAAACCATCTAACACAAAGCCTATTTCACACACACAAAAAAGTGTTGAATATTTCATGTCATGTATTGAATTCTGTACTCAAAGTGAAAAACAGAATGGTTGTTATGGGTATGGAGTGGCAACAGGTGTGTCAGCGGTGCACTCATGTGTTCCTCTGGCTGACTAGGAGCCAGGCTCCCAGAACCACACAAGAGAATAGTGTAGCATGTTATCACTAGCCCAGGAAAAGATCAAAATTCAAAGTACAGTTTCTACAGAATGCATATCACTTTTGCACAAACAGTAAGTCAGAAATCATAAGTCAGACTGTCATAAGTTGGAGATCATCCATATATACATCACACCCTGATTCGTTCTCCTGTGGATGGACACTCGGGTTGATTCCGTGTCTTGGCTATTGTGAATACTGCTCCTGTGAGCGTGAAAGTGCAACCACCTCTCTGAAACTCTGTTTTCATTTACTTTGGATGTATACCCAGATGTGGGACTGCTGGATCAAATGGTAATTCTATTTTTAAATTTTTGAGGGCCCTCCAAACTGTTTTCCTTAGAGGCGAAAACAATTTATGTTCCCACCAACACTGCACAGAGGTTCCCTTTCCTCCCTGTATCCTTGCCAATGCTAGTTATCTCTTGTCTTTTTTATTTTTCATTTTTATTGGAATATAGTTGCTTTACAATGCTGTATTAGTTGCTATTGTACAACAAAGTTAATCAGCTACATGTGGACATATATCTCCTGTTTTTTGGATTTCCTTTTTTCCATTTAGGTCACCACAGAGTATTGCGTAGCGTTCCCTGTGCTATTCAGTAGGTTCTCATTAGTTATCTGTTTTATATAGTAGTGTATGTATGTGAGTCCCAATCTCCCAATTCATCTCATCCCCTCTTCCCGTCTCGGTGTCCATACACTTATTCTCTACCACTACGCCTCTATTTCTGCATTGCAAATAGGTTCATCGGTCTTGTGTTTTTGATGATAGCTATTCTAACATGTGTGAGGTAATATATCAATGTAGTTTTGATGTGCATTTCCCTGATGATTAAGAAAGTGAAAACCTTTCTACGTACCTTCTGATCATTTATTTGTCTTCCCTAGAAGAATGCTTATTCAGTTTCTCTGCCCATTTTTAAATTGAACTGTTTGGTGTTTTGCTTTCAGTTGTATACGTTTTTCATATATTTTAAATATTAACCCCTTAGCAGATGTATGAGTTGCAAATATTTTTCCCTTTCTGTAGGTCGCATGTTCTTTCATTTTGTTGATGTGCAGATGCCTTTTAGTTTGATGTATTCCCACCTTTTAATTTTTGCTTTTGGTGTCAAATATAAAGAAAAAGTCACTGCCAAGACCAAAATCAAGGAGCTTGCCCTCTACATTTTCATGTAGATCAGTTCTGTCAACTTTCGTCAGTTATAAAGAAACTTTATTCCTGAATGACTTGTTCATTGAGTTGTCACTGTGAAAAGAAAACAATATTAAAATACAGATTTAGAAACATGAAAACTATAACAAGTTTTTGCAAGGTCAGAGTGCTACTCACTTTCAGTTAATATCAGATTGTCAAAATTAATAATATCACTGCAAGAAAGAAATAATTTATTTTTTCACAGCCTTGACTAAAGATTCAATTTTGATAAGGTGGAGAAAAATTGTATGATTTTCTTATTTTTTGAGATGAAGAGTTTATTCAATTTGCTCAAGGCCATTACATAACTGTTTATTTTGGTTGGCATAATATTTTGTTGCACAATTAGTGCTATTCATTTATACCATTAAATTGTATCATTTTTAGCAATTTTTCCCTTAGTATGTGAATAATCTTTTTCTAATTAAGGAACAAAATTTAAAAGAAAGAAAACGTTTAAAAGAAAAGTTCAATTGTGTCAATGTACCTAATGGATATTTTAAAATAAACCAGATTATTGGATTGGGCTTCCTCTCCTAATAACTGACCCAGAAAAGAAGTTAATTTTCTTAGAATATAAAGTAGGACTATTTACTTGTATTTGTCTGTTAGTCAGATATCTTAAATCCAAACTTATAATGAGTATATATAATATATCTGACATTAAATTGTTTTAAAAATTAAGTACATTATTTCTCTGACTCAACAGCTATTACTGAGTACTACAGAAATGTCTGTAATTGTGTTTGTATGCACAGCTATAATGGTTTCTGAAATATGATTTAAAAATCAATACCTAAAAATATTTTAAATGCATACTTGGGCATTATTCATCCTAGAGGCATGCACATTTTATTTTCTAGAAAAATCAAAGGCATACTTTGTCAAACCAAAAACTACATTTTCAATATTGTCTATATGATTTGATTGTGCAGGGACAATACTTAGATTTAACCAACTTAGGGGATGAACCTAAAAGATGAAAGAATATTAAACCTGAATATTATTTCCGTGATGGTTCAGCTGGTAAAGAACCCACCTGCTGATGCAGGAGACATAAGAGACATGAATTTGATCCCTGGGTCAGGAAGACCCCCCCTGGAGAAGGAAATTGCAACCCACTTCAAGTATTCTTGCCTAGAAAATTCCATGGACAGAGGAGCCTCGTGGGTTACAGTTTATAGGGTTGCAAAGAGTTGGAGAAGACTGAGTGTACACACACACAGGGGATGAACTAAAGGATGAAGGAATATTAAACTTGAACAGCACAGACATAGATTTTCTGCAGCTAAAATTCTGTATTTTACTAATATGTAGCTACTACAACCACTGACTAATGATTAAAGTAAAAATTAACTGTAAGTTTCTTTTATCTTAACATTTCTTTTAAAGTATAGGAAAAAAGCATTTATATTATTTATGAGCTTAGTATTATTATCCATTAATTATGTAATGCTTATTTCACTTTTATATGTTTGGAAAAACAAGATCACAATATTGTAGGGAGTACATTAATGAAGAGCAATCACTAAATAACAAATCAACAACATTTACAACAAATATAAAGTAATTGTTAGGGTTTTTAAGTCCTTAGGAATTTTTGAATATTGAAAGCACAAACAGATATAAATATATCTTCCTTTAGTTTAGGTTTGCAATTTTTCTTTCCATGGTTACTTTTAGGGAAATTAAGACACATTTTTATGGAAAAAAAATTTACTTTATAATTACATATTACTTCAAGATTTTTAAATTCATGCTCTATAAATAGACTGTAATCAAACAAATTAATAATACTACATTAACCTGGTTCATACAAATCAGGCTACAGTTGATTCAACACTCATTACTGTTCATCTTTAAAGTTGATTTGTTTCCAAACAAAAATGTATTAAGAATATAATTTTTATTTATAATAATTAAGTGTTCAAATCCATCAAAATTACATATTTTGCTAATTCTTTGGCACTTGAGAATCTATAATTTGGGTAACTTTTCAGCACATGCCTGAAAATCATAAATTTACAATGTATTGTAGTTTTAGTTGCCATTGAATAGTGACCTCAAATTGGAAGCTTTAACTGTTAAATACTCAGAGCTTACTTCAGACTTTGGTAGGTGTTGGTTTGAAAAGACTTTGAGAGAAATATGTTACTTAGAAACATATAGTCTAGGGTGGAAATGAAATACATAAAGATTTCACAAGAAATTCTGATGTCTGCAGGCAGACCCAAGGACACGTCCTCTGAACCACACCTGGCCCACGGACTGTCAGAGGACAAGCTATGTGCAAGATGGAAGCTGAGAATAACTCTGCAAATGTTGCTGAAAACAATCCAGATCCTCTTATGTACGGTCTCTCAATCTCCACATTCCAACTCAGGTGGGAATCTCCCTCCCCTTGTCCATTCCCATCCCTCAAGCTGTAATTTACCCTTCTGTCTTCACGGTGGCTGCTGAGTTTAGTTTCACCTGATTTCATTTCAATGTGGGAGACGCTCTCTCAAGTAAGGGAGACTCTTGCTGTTGGGGATTTCCAGACTCTGAGCAGGGGTAGAGATGTATCTGCCCTGATTGTCACTTCTCCAGGCCCTTGCAGGTGGCCAGTCTCCACGTGAGCCCTCCACGCTGCCTAGTTAATAAGCATCCATCTGATTTTTTTTTTACTTTATTATTTATTTATTTGTGGCTGCACTGGGTCTTTGTTGGGCTCTCCAGGTGGTGCTAGTGGTAAAGAACCCATCTGCCCATGCAAGTAGACATAAGTGATGCAGGTTCGATCTCTGGGCTGGGAAGATCCCCTGGAGGAGGGCATGGCAACCCACTTCAGTATTCTCGTCTGGAGAATCCCATGGACAGAGGAGTCTGGTGGGCTACAGTCCATGGGGTTGCACAGAGTCAGATGTGACTGGGCAGCACAGCAGCAGCGTCTTTTTGCTGCGCTGGCTTTCTCTAGTTGCAGTGAGCAGGAATTACTCTCTAGCTGTGATGAGTAGGGCTTCTCACTTCAGTGGCTTCTGTTGTTGCAGAGCACGGGCTCCACGTTCTCAGGCTTCAGTGGCTGCGGTGCTCAAGCTCAGTAGTTGCGACATAGTGGTTTAGCTATGTCTAAGCACCTAAGCAGAGCTTAGGTGTGGGATCTTCCTGGACCAGGAATCGAACCTGTGTCCTATGCACTGGCAGGTGGATTCTCAACCACTGCACCACCAGGGAGGTCCCAGCATCCAACTGATCTTTAAATCACACTGAGGGTTGCAGAACACAAGACCTCAGGAACCAACCTAAAACTGAAAACACTGCAGTTGTTAGAATATACAGTCAGGTGTTTTTTACCCTGATAAAAGCAGTGAAGCGCTAGCTGGAAATGAAAACTAAATCTGCAGAACTAGCTTAGATGATTCAAATCTTCCAGAAAACACTTACCCTGAACCAGTCCTGAGACAGCCCTCCATCTATTGCGGTCACCACCAATGTCAGAGCTCCTCTACATTTCCTAACTAGACCAACAACCTTTGAAAGAAGTAACATGATTGTTTCCATGTTAAATGGTCAAAGACAACCAGGCTATAGTAGTTTTTAAAAGAAATAAAAAAGAGAGAGTTAAGAAGTAAAAAAGAATGAGTTCATTTTTTGAGACAAGTTTAGCTACATCAAAAAATGCTGCAAGTCAATTTAAAAAGAAACGATTTCACTGTCAATCTTCTCCATATGCCTCCTTTGGGTTTTGCTTTATTATCATTTGAAGGTAACTAGAATTGCAAACATCAGCTCCTCTGAATAATCACTAAAAAGAAAGTCAAGGGCTATAATCCTAGTCTAAATTTTTGGATGGCTTCCCAGTTAAATGTCAAAACAGTAGCTTCCTTTGGGATAGTTACTCCTTTTTATTGTACTGAAGAGCCCTTTTAGTGTCTTGTTCTGAATAATTACATATCATGCTTGACTTTCCTTTTACATAATATGAAAATTTTTTATTTCTTTATTCTCTATGGTAACAGCCAAGTTGCTTCAAGCCTGTTTCTTTTCTCTCAAGTACAAAGCTATTTTCCTGGAAGTGGAGGTGGGGGATCTGTCATACACGCAGGCAGAGAACGTCGAAGCAGTTCAGGCGAACAGAAACACATACCCCGTCCACACTTCATCTGCGTCAAGTCGGCTTGCTTTCTTCTGAAGCTATGTACATGTCCTCACCCCGGGACTTCCCAGGTGCTGTTTACTCAGCATAGAATGCTCTTCCCTCCCTCCCATCCTCAGACTACTGTTCGTCACTCATCTTTCACTGTCAGCTCAGAATCCATCCCTATCATGATGACTTTCCCCCTGATCATCCAGACAGGATCCTGTGTTCTTTTCTCAGCTAGGGAAAAGGTGTGCTTAGTCATTCAGTCGTGTCTGACTCTGTGACTCCCATGGACTATAGCCCGCCAGGCTCCTCTGTCCATGGGATTTCCCAGGCAAGAATACTGGAGTGGGTTGCCATTCCCTTCTGCAGGGGATCTTGCCAACCCAGGGATCAAACCTGCATCTCCTGCATTGGCAGATAGTTTCTTTTACCATTGTGCCACCTGGGAAGCCCAAGGAATGGGTCCCCACTGTGAACTTTTTAAAGTATGCAATAAACGGTAGCATTAATTTCAATTTTTTAAAAAAACTTCACAATTTTCACAATACCTACAAAATTGTTCTTTTTCATGGGATTACCAATGTTTGTAGTCACCATCTGCATGTATCCTTTCCTGAAATATTGTCATAAGATACACTGATTTTCCTAGAACAGAAAGGGGGACCCCTGGCTAACTGATTGGACACACCAGCATTGAGCAGACCACTCCGCAGGGGAACATGCTTTTGTTTTTATTTTTTAATTGGAAGAAAACTGGTTTACAATGTTGTGTTGGTTTCTGTCGTACATCAACATGAATCAGTCATATATATGTTCCCTCCCTTTTTGATTGGCTTTTCTCCCATAGAAGTAGGTCACATCAATATCACAAGGGCAGGGACACTCACTGTCCCAATGACTCTCTGCCAAGTGACCTGGAATGAAGGAAGGCTGCTTAGAAGGCTGCTGAGCCACGGCTGGGGGGGCAGATGACGGCTAACAACCCCCTGAACCCCTCCAAAGTCACCTCCTCCCTCCTCTCGAGAACTGCTCGAGACAAACAAACACTCTGTTTATTACACGTGGTCCAGTTAAGTTGGTTGTGTTAGTGTTAGCTGCTATGTTGTGTCTGACTCTTTGAGACGCTATGGACTGTAACCCACCGGGCTCCTCTGTCCACAGGATTTCTCAGGCAAGAATACTGGAGTGGGTTGCCATTCCCTTCTCCAGGGTATCTTCCCCACCCAGGGATCAAACCCACATCACCTGTATTTGCAGGTGAGTTCTTTACTACTGGGAAGCCACCTGGGAAGCCCTTTGATTAAGTCAATCCTTTTGTGCAAAGCAGTTTTTTTCCTAAATATGTTAGAGAAACTGTCATGTTCATCAGCTTTTTACTTTTATCAGTAAAGGATACTTATTTAGGGAGCTATCTGTCTGGGGCTGATGATATTTGATAACATTCACAAAGCAGTTTGCTTATTTTCATTATCTTATTTCTTGCAGCGCATCCTAACTCCTCGGGGAGGGACAACATCTGTTCCTGCAGGGGAAATGTCTCCAGCCTTCTCGTTGGTTCTCCCCCCAGCTTTAGACTCCAGGGAAACCAGCTCTCCCTCATTCTTGTGGATTCCCTAGATTTTTGCACGGAGATTTATGAAAAAGAGACTTGTAATGCTTCAGTGTTAATTAGATATCACAGTCTTGTGAATGATAAAAATGAGACTAAAAGGATGATCTGAAAAAAGAAAAAGGAAAGCAAAGGAGATTTAGAAAAGATTTCAAAGATTCTTTAAAACCACTAGGAAATTCTCTCTTCAGAATGGAAAAAAAATTCTACAAGTATGAAAATTATTCTGCTGTCAAATACTTAGCTTATTTACTGTTAAAATGTTAATATTGTACCTTCCTAGACTGAGACTAACTTTTAAATTTCAGGCATTTAGACTTAGAGTTCAACTCACAGCTTATTAAAGTGTGGAATGTGATTCTCTAATATTCTTACAACTATGCCCCAGAACTCCAGAGCATATATACTATATGGGCCAATTAATTTTCAAATATCATAAAGTATGTCAGTGCTATAAACAATTAGTAGTGAGAAAAAAAAATGATACCCTTTTTGATGGTAGAATGACATGGAGCACTTAACAAACATTCATTGAGGGTCTGTTGGGCTCCAGCGGTAGGGATGGGGTGGGGAAGGGGACAGGGTAAGGATGAATGGCAATGTGAGTGGGGGAAGGGGAATCAGGACATTCACAAAGAACAGTACCTGCTTTCAAAAGGTGCCCACAATCCCATGAAGGGAAAAGAAAAGGAAGAGGAAAAGAAAATGCTATTGGTATGCTGACAGTTGTATCATGACAAAACAGGTAGGTAGCCTCCAGTTTTCAAATGGTTGAGCCACTTTTTTAATAAAGCCTGGAATCCAGGATTTTCCAGCACAGGCCCAACTAAGGAGCTGAGGAGATCAGTAGCTGTTTTTTTTTTTTTTTTCTCTTTGTCCCCCTTAGGGCCTATAATAGTTCTACTTCCTGATCAAAAAGTAGATCAACTCCAAGTGTAAAAACAGTTTCATTCGCTGCAGCTTAAAATGTTTTCTTAACTCAAGAGTTCAGTGATGGAGTTCTGTCCCAGTTCCCTTATTCAGAATTCATGAGGCCTTGAGTGCATCCCCTCACCACTCCACCTTCGGGAGAAACTGCTGGAAAGCCCTTTGTGTGCTAAAAAGGTAGAAGCAAAGTCCAGCTAATCGTACTATGATACTTCAACAAGATGATGAAACTGGGTTTAGAGTAAAACCATTCACCAAAATCGCACACTATACCAGGGATAAGAAAGACCCAGAGGAATTCAAATTTTCACTTCCTAATTAAGCTATCCCTCTTGAACTGAGCTCTGACCCACCATGATATTTTGTCCTGGGAGTAACTGTCCAGCTTCACTTTCTGCCACACCTCCCACCCTGGGCCACATCAGCTGTCACTAAGACACCCAACTCCAGTCTCTCTATGACTGCGCCAAGGTCCTTTCTTAGGTCTCAGTACCCAAACCTGTGAGAAGTGGACCATAAAAAAGGCTGAGCATTGAAGAACTGATCCTTTTAAAATGTGATGCTGGAGAAGACGTTTGAGAGTCCCCTGGACAGCAAGGAGATCAAACCAGTCAATCCTAAAGGAAATAAACCCTGAATTTTCAGTGGACGGACTGATGCTGAAGCTCCAATACTCTGGCCACCTGAGTGAGGAAGAGCTGACTCATTGGAAAAGACCCTAATGCTAGGATAGATTGAGGGTAGGAGGAGAAGGGGATGACGGACGATGAGATGGTTGGATGGCATTACCAACTCAATGGACATGAGTTTGAGAAAACTCTGGGAGATGGTGAAGGACAGGGAAGCCTGGCCTGCTGCTTCACGCCATGGGGTCGAAAAGAATGGGACACAACTTAGGGACTAAACAACAGCAACAGCCCTAAACCTGGCACTGTTTTACCTCCTTGGAATGACAACTTATTGTATTATAACAATTGCCCCCTAACAGTGTGGGCACCCATTGAAGACAGAGCTCATGTGTTATTAATCTTTGTACCTTTGTCAGTGTACCTGGCAAAGATACATGGCTTAATGAATGAATGGGTGCATGTATACAAATCATAATTTCTGCCCATAAAGAACAGGATTGTGACATACTCCAACTACATGTTTCTGTGTGTTTCCCAAAAACACTGTTACTGTCTATATAGTTTTATAACAGCTTTACTGAGATGTAACCCACAGGTAACCTCAGGTTTTCAGAAGTTTACTGGGTATCACTTGTTATGAGAAAACTACATTAGTTACCATTTTCGATCACCAAAAGAAATACAAAGAGGGTTTTTGCTTTTATGTAAAAGGCAAAAAGCAAAAACAGCACTCAGCACTCGATTTGCAGCAAGCCTATACAGAGGCAGTGTCAGGCTCCACCTCCCCCCACCACCCCGCCCCCAACTATACTGGGCATCTCAGTATCAGTCTGCCATAGATTTGAACTAAGTCTGCGAGCATCTGTGCTTTATCTTGATTGATTTTGTGTGTTCATTAGCAAGATGTGCCCCAAGGTAATTCTTTTGTGCTTGCTGCCCTTTTGGCTTATGAAAGGTTTCATAGAAACACTCTACTTCAGGTAGGGGGGAAGCTTGCACAAGTTCACTCGAAGTGTATTAATACAATGCAGTGGTTTTTAGTGGATTCAGAACTGTGCGTCCATCACCACTAACAAATTGAGGGAACAGTCTCATCATCTTTAAGAAACCCCAACCCATTAGCAGTCACTCCCCACCCCCCTCGCCCCCCTAGCGACCATTAATCTACCTTCAATCTCTACGGATTCCTAATTTCTTGTTACGCTGTGTACACAGCGTCAATTATTAGAACGCATCTCTGTGCCTAAGACCTAAGTGCTGAAGCAGCTTTGATTCAGTGTAGAAGTACAAAATCAATTTCTTTGCTTTGTGACCTTGGGTAAGTTGTTGAACTGGATTAAGTTTCCTCCTAAAAATGAAGAAGTGTGGACTGTGTAAGAGGTTTTAAAAAAAAAAGCAAAACCCCTCTGGCTATAATTCCAATAGGCTTCCTAATAAATGTCTTCCTGTAATTAACATTTCACACCAGAACTGCTGCAGCCGCTGCCTTCCCCGCGAAGGGCCCTAGAGAAAACGTTTTCTCTTTTTCTGCCCTTTGTGGGTGTCTACTCCTGGGCGGGCCAAGGAGAAACTGCAGGGCACAGGAGCGGAGACTCTCGAGCGCTCCGCGCCCGCAGGAAGCCTCGCCCAGCTCGGGACCGCACCCTCCGCGGCGCCCCCGGGAGAGAGCCGGCAGCAGCGCGCGCCACGGGCGCGGGGAGGGGCGCGGCCGTGGGGAGGGGGCGGTGCCTCCCGCGGCGGCAGCGGCGGCGGCGTCCGGGCGATGCGGCGGGTCTCCTCAGGCGCCGGTGTCCCGACCTCTTCCTGAAGGTACCGCGCGGGGCTCGCCCCCTCGCCCTGGGGCGGCGCAGCGCCGACCCCGCGGCTTTGTGAAGCCCAGGCTGGGCGCGGGGTGGGTGGGGCCGGGCGGGGCGGCGCTGTCTGGGCCGCTTTCCCTGCGAGGAAGAGGGTGGCGGCGGAGGGAAGCGGGCTGAGGGAGGAGGGCTGTCTCCCGGGCGCGGCTGGCGGCCCTGCAGCCCTCCATCCTCCTGCCATCCCCTACCCTCCCCACCCCATGTGGCTCGAAAGAGGTTTCGTTCCAGGAGAAAGTTTGGTGCTGAGACGCGCGGAGCCGGACTCGGGGGTCCCTGAGGCGCGCCCCGGTAGAGGGGAGGCAGGTCGTCCTTGTCGGGGACGCCCGTGACCTGAATATGGGCAAGCGGGAACCCAGGCCACTTTCTACCGTCTCCCACACCCACTCTCCCCCCAGCTGCATTCTCGACGCAGGCTCTTCCCCGAGGGAATTCCTCGATGGGGATTTCCCGCCCCCCCCCCCCCATCGGAGCAGGGGACGGGCACCCAGAGCCCCCCCACCCCCGCTGTGGCTTCTGCCAAAGGTAGTAGTTAAGAATCCCGCACCTCGTAATTAAAGGTCCCTGAACAGTGTGTCGGAGCTGCCGATGATTCCTTCTGTGTCACATTTTGAATATTTTCTTCATGCTACTGGGCTTGCAGTTGGTCTCCAGCGTGCTGGGGTGTGGAGCACAGGAAGGGGAGTAGAAGCTGTGGCCCTTCTCTCAGGGTGCAGGTTGGGGGAAGAAAAGAATACAGAACGCACTGATGCACTTGAAGATGGGAGAAAGTTTCAGCCTTCAAAAAAAAGATGGGTTTCCGTGTGGATTATTTGCTTTGAGGAAACTTCCTCAAATGCAGAGAAATAGAGTTAGTATTAAGTTTTACACAAGGTTGTAGGAACACAGTCTGTCATCACTGTAGCTGGGAGTAGAGATGGTCATGTGTTTATCATAGGGACTTGAAATGAGGAGATGTCGACAAGTGTGTGTTGAGTTCTGTTTCGTTCACATCAGCCTGATACCTTTCTGATCATACGTGTGGGTTCTCACAGGTACTTTATTTCTTACCAAGAATATTCATACCATAAGACAACTTCATAATACCTTTGGTACCCTGCAGACCGCCTTAGCCAAGGACATGAACCTCTTGTTCTGGTCCACACTGTTTCTCCCTTCACCAGGTCACATCACTTCCATAAGAAAGTTTACATGTGAAAGAGCAGGAAACCTGCTTCGTCCATGGTGACACGATATATACAGCATATACATGGTGCATACAGGTGTCCTAGATATTTTGTATGTAACTTTGATTCTCACAGTCACCCTGATGTGTTCTTAACTTCCCCTATTTTAGGATTTAAAGAGTTGTGCAGTCTTCCCAAGATTGGAATTTGAACCTGGATGTCTTTGACTTCCTGCCTGGTGCCCGTTTCCACTAATCTATGCTATCTCTTGGCCTCTCTGGAGAGAGAGTTGCCCATGTGATGATACAATAGGAAATCCCAGCATGGCGATGTACGCTGCGTCTCCTGACCTCCTGGGTCAGAGCCCTTTATGGAGTGTCTTCTCCTTCTGGGAGCCCACCCCTGTGTGCCCAGCTGGTATGACATCAGGGTTGATGTCAGGGACTGACATCATGGGCTCCACACTCTACCCCCACTCCCCTCCGCCCAGGATGTAAGTCAGATAGCAATCGCCAAACATACCTTCCCCTTCCTAATACCTTGGTTCCAGAAGACAGGTGACCCAGTGTTTTCCCTTTCTGCTGCTTAAGGAGCAGTTTCTCCCCTCTCAGCCGTTCAGGTCTATTTTAAGTCTGCACAGATAAGTACACCCCACCAGCTGGCAGCCACGCTCCCCTGCGGTGTTCACAGGGACACACTCACCCTCCTGTACCAACTGTCAGAGAATTCCTGACACAGAGCTGCCTACTTACAGTGGAAGACTGAAACAAGGTCTCTGGGGAAGATGGTGTTCGTCCAGGGAACCCCTGGATTCTCCTCTACTGACCAGAAAGGAGACTCACCTGAGTACCCTAGGGCAGGAAGCAGGCCTTCTCAATAGTACCAAATGCTGCATGTGTGGTGGTCTGTTGTCAACACTGTAAAAGATAATGTATTTGTCATATAGAGATGCTTTTACCAGTTGTCTTCATGATGGGTGGAGGTGATCCCCTATTTCTGATTTGATTACTCACTTTTACACTGAGGCAGTTGTCACCTGGCTGAAGGGTCTGGAAACCTGGTATCACAGTTGTGATAGTGAGTTTGAAGCTGTGTCTTAAAAAAAAAAAAAAGTGTCTTTTATTATAACCTACAGGTACTCTTTTATCACTTCTCTTCCCTAGGCGGGTTGTGTGTGTGTCTATTCTCTCCCTTGCTATAGTCTTCAGCTCTTCTCTGGTTCCAAAATGGTTTGCAGTACTAAGGCTAAAAAGAGATAAATTCATTTTTGAGCTGTGACCATATGCTGCCTGGAAGCCTATCCTCGTAGTTGGCATTTTACTCATGTTACTCTAGTGTTCAGCATCTCAAAGTCCCGTGTGTGTGCCTTGGGATTTAACATGGGCTCTCCCGTCTAATCATTTCACTCCGTCCCCCGCAGCGTGGTGAGGTTTCAGTCTAGAAGACAGCCCTGGCACCTCTAAACTGTGGAAAACTGGAGCAGCACTAATTAAAGTTGAGAAAGTGGAACTTGAGGTGTGCTCGCTGTTACTCTGGCACCAGAATGGGATATGTACCAAAACCATTTGAGGGGAGAAAGAGTGATGCCACCTTCTTTAAATGACTGGGGATCTGCAAAACCGTACCAGGTAATTGACATGGTATAGTCAACCTGAAGTTGGGAGCATGCAGATACCTCTCTAACCTAAAAGTGTCCACAGTCAACAAACTTCCACTCTGCATTCTATTCAGGTATTAAAACCTATTATTAACTGGCAACCCATCTTTATTTCTGTATTTCATCAAATCGGGAATGTCATCAGAATGTAAGACATAGCATGATTTTTCTTATACAGGGAGGAAAAGAAAATACTGCCAATTATATTATGACTTGCCACTATAACAGTGGTCTTCCAGGACACTGCATGAAACTGTCATGCTAGCATCTCACAGCTTTCAATGTTCATCTCTTCCATCAGTTGTGGTACTTGTTACTGCTGGTACCTCAGTAGCATTGCTTATGGTGTGATAGGCAATCAGTTTGTATATGTCTCAGTTACGAACTGTAACACAGATTCCTTTTCTGTGTTTTCCTTCAGTCTAGTTAAGCATTTGGATTTTGCTTTGAAAGGTAATGTGGAAACGCTAAACAAAGACAAATGTTTCCTTTAGTAACAGAACATTTAGACCCCACTACTCTGTTTATTTGCCTTGGTGCACACACAGTAACATCTTTTAAGTGCCAGATCATAGTGTAATTTTTTTGAAAGCCATTTAGATGGCAATTTAACAGAAGACGTGCAATGCCAATGATGCCCCTTAGTGGAAGCAATGACAAAATGAATAGTGGTGACCAAGTTGATGCAAATAACAGGGAAATGATGATTGTGCTGTGACTACTGCCAAGTTGTCAGTCATTTTAAGATACTGTCCTTATTAAGACCCATCCTGATTTCAGAGATATTAAAGTGTGGGGGAAAAAATGAACCTTATCAATGAAATATGTTAATCTGTGCCCACTTAGTTTGGGGAACTTGACCTGCCTACCATCTTGCATGTTTTCATTCATTCACAGAGTCATTCATTTTGTTAAACTCCAAGCTTCAAAGGCTGATGATGAGGGCTGGCAGAGAGTGGCCCTAGTGTGAGCGCCAGTAAGAAGGTGGTTAGGAGTGTGGCCTCAGGATCGGTTGGTTTGCATATGAAAGGCTTGTGGGAAGGCCAGTCTTTTTATCTTTAGGAATTGGCTCAGCCTGGGAAGGACACTTCCTCCAGGGTCCTCAAGGCACCCCCCGCCCCCAGATGTCAAAACATCAGGATACAAAAAATAAAAGGCTTGGTTAATTACCCGGAGATTTTTTTTAAATAGTCAGCTAATGGATTTGGCTCAGGTGCAGCCAAGTGTGAGGAGGTGCCTAGCTCAGGATGTGACACATGGTCTCATCCAGTCAACATTCATTAAATCCAAGTTGTGGTGCCAGATGGTCCAACCGTGCTCACAGTCAGCCTGTGCTGGATACTGTATCAGGTGCGCACTGTTCATCTTGAGAGAGAGCAAAAAATGAGAGGCTGTACACTGCCCAGAGGACCCCTGGATGAAAGATGAACCACCCAGGGCAAAGGCAAAACACAAGTCTCTAAAAACATAAATGAACCCTTAAGCAGATACTTCTTCAGCTTTAAGATCTGAAAATCTGTAAGGTAATTATATATTGGGGGCTTATTCACTGTGGATTTGGAAGATCAGTAAGAGTCAGGAAACATGAAAAAGTTAGTATTAGTGGCTCAGTCATGTCTGACTCTTTGTGACCCCATGG